TGAATAAACACAACAGGACTGGATGCTGGTGACATCATTGACTTAATATGGCCATGGGGCTCTATTAGGTAAGTGATGTCAGACGCATCTCTGCCCCTTGTGTACATTCAGCTGCAAGGCAGGGAATGCCACTACTGACAGCTGAACAGAGCCTGGGATGCTGGTGATGTCATTGACCAAATATGCTAAATATGCTATTTGAATAGTACTTTATTTCTTTGTAAATGTCACTTTTTCCTATGTATATCCCACAGATGTGCCACTTCACAGACCAAACATGTTATTTAAATGGATTTTGCATTTTAATCCTCCATGCTAAACATTATTAAAAAGAACTGCTCCCTGCTGAACGATATTTTTTTATACAAAAGTTTGCATTGATACATGTTCTTTAGAGCAGTGCCCAGCCACTCATTCCCTTTTTTTACCAAAAGCTTGCAAACTGGCCTTGAAAATGGCCAGGATTGACTTTAATGGTTCACCTCCTATTGACGTCAATGGGATTTAAATTAATGTTCAGAACTTGTGTAAACCTGCCTCAAACCAAACCCAGGTATGTTCAGCTCATCACTGATGTCTATGAACTAGTGGACTGGAAAAGACTAGCTAGAAGAAGCCATCACTGACAACAGTGGCGGAACTACCGCCGGTGCAGGCACACCGGTGCCTCAGCCTGGGGGGGCCCAGCAAGTTGCCGGCCGCCGGATCAGTATCCAGCGCCCGGCGGGCCCCTGGTCTCTCCGCCGGGAGTGTCGGATCATCCGTTCATCCAAGGTGAGTATTAAAGGGTTATTAAACCCTCTGGGTTTTTTGCATATATATAAGGGAAGCAAAAGCAGTAGATATATGCAAAAAGTTTTTTTTTTTTAAACAAAAAGCTTTAACAGGGGTTTAAACTTATCCTGTCTTCGCCGCACGCTCCTGTCCGAAAATCCGAAACTGCTTGGGCGGCCGCAAAGCATCTTGGGGCGGGTGCATGCGCAGTTCGGATTTTCGGACGGGTGACGAGGAGAGACGCAAGGTAAGTATATGGACGCATGCACCTGCATGCAGACACTGTGGGACAGGAAGTGCCAGCAATGACAGAGGAGTCAGCGCTGGATTGGAGACCCGCCGCACCGCTGGAGGGACAGATGAAAAATCAGGAAAGAAGATCGTATTAACCCCTTCATGAGTGAGCTTGTTTTTAGTTTCTGTTCGTAAATGACTGACACACTTTTGAAATTTTTGCTGTGTGATTCTTCCACGTCAGTAATATACTTTCTTACAAAGTGCACCCACACAAATTATATATATTGTTTTTTAGAGGACAGATAGGGCTACATATTTTTATCACATATGTGTGTCTAACGCCTCACTTAGGACAAATAAAATATAAAAAAAGAGGAAAAAACTAAAAAAAAACGCTTTTTTTCCAAGTTTTGATTTGTAGTATTTTTTTTACAAAACCAGCGCAGCTGGAAAAAAATGCAATAAATACATTTATTTGTCCCTTATTTTTATTTTTGTTACACTTTTTTTTTTTTACACTTTTCACTATTTTTTTAAACTTAAAAATTGTATTCTATTTATTTAATTATATCAAGCAGTCAATGTGAACTAATCTCACTATTACTGCTTGATAAATTAATACATTTTTGGTTATTATCAGGCTGCTTCAAACTTCAGAACAGCCGATAATAAGTTAGTGACACTGATCCTGCAGCAGTTCAGGATTCAGCTGTTACTAAATGTTTTCTGATTGTTGCAACAACGATCAGCAAACAAACATTCTTCTTCCAGGAATAGATACATTGTAGGAATAGACACATTTTGTATCTATTCATGAATGAAAAAAAAAAGCCAGTATAGCTTGAGAGAGATATCTCTCGATCTATACGAGCTGTCAGAATGCCGGCTCTGCTTTGACTCTCAGACACCCGATCTTCAGGTATCGGGTGTCTGAAAAAGGTTAACCCTTTCATTAATGGATGCCTCTATACTGAGGCATCCATTAATGAATGATAACCGCTGATTCTCAGCGGTTACCAGCCTTCTAGTGCAGCAAATAACTCGTCACGTACAGTGTACGTGACAAGTAATTTGGTCCCTTTGTGGCGGGACGTACAGTGTACGTCTCCCGTCACGAAGGGGTTAAGAGACATTAGTTAAGGTAAGTGCTAACATTAACATTGGGTGGAGGGATAAAAAAAAATTGACTTTAATGTCACTTTAACCACTTCCGGGCCGCAGTACGTCTATAGACCGCGGTCCGCAGAAGTGGTTAAAACTAGAACACGGCTGCTTGGGCAGCCGTGCTCTTGGTAACGCTTTTAACAGCAGGCGATTGCTGTATGACTTACAAGCAATCGCCTGCTGAGGACTACAAATCTCAGCAGTACTTTATACAGAAATGCTATTGTTATATAAAGTATTGCTGGGATGTGTAGTCCTCTATAGCCTGTGCCATTCTGCATTGCTGTAAATATTAGGGTTGCACCGATATATCAGCCGCCAAAACATATTGGCCAAAATGGCACTTTTGGCATAATGCCAAAGTGCAATTTTTCTGCTGAAACAGCGGCACATCCCTGCTTTCTTTTGTCCCCGCTGGGCGCTGCTCTGTGTCCCAGCGGGGAGGAGAGAAAGTGACAGCCGGCCGAGCGCTGCGGAAGGAGAGCCCTGTGTTTGTGGGTTTTTTGATCCTCAATCCTCAAAATCATCTCTGACTTGGTGCTGACACTGCCTTTCCTTCTGGGGGGTGGCAACTTTTGTTCCCCATGGGCCCTGTGTGTGTTGTAAAGTGATAGACTACAATCTCAAATGCAATATTACAAATTAGTAAACTAAACCTGAGATTGTAGTCCATCACAGGAACGAGCTTGGGGGAGTGGCTACCTTACAACACACACAGGAACCATGGGGAACAAAAGTAGCCACCCTGCAGAAGGAAGGACAGTGTCAGCAAAAATTCAGAGATGATTTGAGGATCTACAGCTGAGTGATACACAAATAAGATACATTTTTGTTAATAGTTATGGTACATTAATGCATGTTTAAGATTGAACCCAGAGTTTAGTGTCACTTTAGGAAAGCAGGGTGATCTTGCAAGACTTTATAATTTAAAGGAGAACTATGGGGTCAGTGTTTTTCCCCATAGTTCTCCTTAGGGTAACGGGAGGACACAAACTAGCGTCCTCCCGTTACCCTAAGCTCAGTATACCGCGAGCTACAGCTCGCGGTATACTGAGACGCCGCAGCCGGAGCGGATCCCGACATCGACGTCGAGATCCGCCCAGCTGCGTGAGTGACAGCTGTAGAGGCAGAGCCAGCTGTACCGCCCCCTCCCCCTTCCGTTCCGCCAGCCAGCGCTGGCAGATCGGAGCGGGGAGAGGGGAATCCAGCCCCTCCCCCTGTCACGGCAGAGAGTCGTGACAGGATCGAGAGGTGAGCGAACCCGGTATGTGTTCGCTCACATCCCAATCTACTGAGCCGACCTGTGACAGTCTCATTGTCACAGGTCGGCTAGAACTATGAGGTGAGTGGAAATCACTCATCTCATAGTTCTCCTTTAATTAGTTTCTACTCAGCTTAGCGGCACATAGAAAACAATGTTTGTTATACGATGTTATAACAGATCTTCAATATTTCCTCTTACTCATGCATAGTGGAAGTATCACTCTCTTATCTGTAATGGATTCCTATAATTTGGTATAGATGGGGTACCATGGGACTTTGAAGTGGGATTTCCACCCACCCCAACACAGCTGTGACATTTTGGGTTTGGCTTTTTAGTAGGTAAAGCATATATTGGCCCAGTCAAGGGGTGCTGGTGACCTATATTTTATTTATAGGGTATGGTGCTGACTATTGGTTGCTTCAGCACCCAGTTTTAAAAGGTGCAGTTTTCGTCTGGTGTGTGATAGGGAAATGTCAATGGCTTTTTAGTGGAGCTACTACTGTTGCTTTCTTAAATTAATTGTTCATACATTCCTCACTAATGGATGCAGGATTTAGAAGTACTGCATCATACTCCATTCTTTGTACACTGAGTGGCCAGATTATTATGACCACCCCATCAGTACTTCGTTGGGCCACGAGATGACTACGTTGGGCCACCTCGTGACTCCACGAGATGTGGAGGAATCTGACACTGCACTGTTGCCCTTCTGTTGTCTTGTACCAGTCTTGCCACTCTCCGTTCTGCCCTAACATTGACTAGTCGCTGACGGCCACAATTCGCACGTTCAGACCCAGATTTTCGGCTGACAGTCCAGTCTTTAAACACTTTAACAACAGCTGATCTTGAACATTTAACGAATTCTGCTGTTTTGCTGATACTCGCTCCATTGCTCTGTGCCAACAATCATCCCACGTTCAAAGGCTGTTAAATCGCGTTGTTTACCCATATCTTCAGAAAAAAATCACTTCTACTGTCGTGGTAAACAACCTGCTTCCCTATTTATAATGGTCTGACCCTCTAGCAACTTCAGCGCAAAATTATAGCTAATTATAGCTAATTTGCCTACAAACGTCAGGTGGTCATAATAATCTGGCCACTCAGTGTATTTTCTGTAGGAAAAGATGAAGAAAATACAAGCTGGTGACAATTTGCATTGCTGAAAAGCAGAGCTTTTAGCCTCTCATAACCTTGGTGGAAATACAGGGAAATTTCACCACTGGGCTCCCAGAAAGCAGTGAAGACATGATGGGAGATCAGATTGGGTCACTGTTTATTGCTTATTTGTTAAGGCACCCTGCCAGCTGCCAACAATCTCGGAAAAGTTGTATCACAGCCAAACATTATACAGTATATGGTTCAACTAATTATCTTTAATAATTAGGCTTTAATTGAGACTGTAAACAGAATACGTCATGATCTTGAATAAAATGTTATGGACTATACCAGCTGCTTATGCTAGTATAGCTATATTTATGTTCTGTATTCATATTTAGGACAATCATTAGCAATTTAGTTCAGGGTATGCAGTAGTAATAAGCTCTTTTCTTTATCTCTTCAGAAATATTTTTCAGTGAACAACATGCTCTATCAGAAATATACCACCAGACTGATCATCTTCACTTTGCTGCATGCTGCTGTGATCTTGTACAAGGTAACATATCTCTGTTTGAGTAACATGTCTAAACTTTACAGAAAGCTTTTTAATCAAACTGAGTGAGTAAAAGAAAAGATGATTCAGCATTTCAGTGCAATGTAATTAGCAAGATGAATATATACTATGTCCGCTCCATAAACTCTGCTGCTTAGCAAGGATGAGTTCCGGGGACTCACTGGAATAAACACAGCATATTGTCTAGCATTAAACTATTAAAAGGTCAGCAGAAGATGATTACTAAAGAAAAGTAAGGCTGTGTACTTAAAACATAAAGAAAAATAGGCTTGGCAGGTGTTTAAAATCAAAATCAACCAGGCACCTTCACCTTTGCAGCACCAGCGGTCCTAGGAGAAGCATCTATGATGAGCTACAGTACAGCAGACAGAAGTACAGTTAAGTTATGAAACTACAAAGCTATGTAGATGTAAACCACAGCAATACAAATGGCCACCAAAACAATTCTGGAAATCAGTAGTATTTGAAATATTTACAACTGCACAGAAATGTTCACAACAATGTCTTGTACATTTCCACTACTTCTTGAAATCTCCTTTGGATGTGCTGGGGTGGACAAAGGGAAGGAAGTACAATGTCCTCGTTAAGGTGAAAAGCAGAAACTATCTTAGGAAAAAAAGGGGTTCTGAGCCTCGAGATAACATTGTCCTTGTGTAAGATCAGAATTGGTTCTTTACAAGACAAGGCACCTAGCTCAGACACATGCCTTGCAGATGTGATGCCAAAAAGAAAGACCAACTAGTGAGTTAGAGAGGAAAGAAGAATATCCCCGATGGGTTCAAAAGGTGTTTTTAGAGAGCAAAATTCTGAATCCATGGAGTCACTTGTGGTCATACAGGTGGGCTATATGAGACACCCTGGACAAAGGCCTTAACCAAAAAATAAAAGACTTGCAATGGGACAGAAAGGGATGAAACTTGCTCCTTATAAAAAAGTTAACCATTGGAAAAAAAAAAAGCTAATGAATTCAAGAAGCCCCGTAAAATGTAATCTTAAGTAATCTATCTGGCATCCCTGTAGGCCATTAGCACCCCCACTAAAGCCTGCCTAAAAAACACTCAATATTCTGCATAGCTCTGCCCTGTTGCCAGGACAATGCCATTAGATGCTCATCCCAGCATCATAGAAACATATTTTTTTCAGAAACTGCAGGCGCTCTGAACAAGGATGGTGTTTGCTCCCATAATGCGGGTGAAGTAGATCTGTCTGTGGGTTCGGAAGACTTGGGAGCCCAGGGCTTTTGATTGATCTGGTTTCCAGGCTTAGGTTTGACTTTTAAATGGGAAGAAATTATAGGAATTATTTTGGCTTCAGTTATTTATTCAGTTTGAGGCCTAAACTCCTTTGGCTGAGGTAAAAAGGTACTCTAACCTTCAGTTAGAGTTAGACATATTTAATAAAGTTGTTCCATGAAACACTAAGAGACGTTCTTGTCTGCATAACAGTCAGGAGATTCATCTGGGAAATTAGAAGGACAATATCCAATGATCTGTCAACACAATAGTGTCATGCAGCAATCATAACCTCTAAGTGCTTTATAACTGAATAGTCAGCGAGGATAGCTTTGGGTTGCCTGTGCATATTTTTAGTCCATAACCCTAAGGTCTGACAAACTGACATGACAGCTATGGCAGGTTGTATAGCAGCACCTGCTAGTGAAAACAAAGCTTTGAAAAGGGCTTCCTGATGTTTATCAACCAAATCCTTAAACAATGGGGCATCCTCAAGGTGGCATGTCAGTGTTTTATGAATACAAAAAAATAGCTGTCTCCACTGTGGAAACAGATATTGCTCAGAAAAAAAACATTTTGATGAAGAAATTACCTTTTCAGGAATACTGTTATATGAATCTAGGGTTACCCCTTTGCAACCAATGACACTATGCAGCCCAGCCATTTTTCTTCCCTGACATCACTTGGGGATGCCTGATGGCTTGTTTACAATTTGCAACAAGCCACCATGCAGCAGGATAGTGATTACTAGGATTTAAGGCTAGCAACCAATAGTGCTCTGTGGCTGTTTGCATCCTAGCAACTAATAACACTTACAGGCCCACACAGTAATACTGCCACTCAGGACTAATTCACACCATCCTCAGTACGTTCCAGGCTGGATTGTGTCCGGAACGCACTGGATCGCATTCCGGTCGGCTCACTTTGTTTTGGGGCAAGAGGGAGGATGGCGGTGCATTGAACTCAATGACACCAAAGCCACACCCTCCAGCTGCAATGGGATCGGCCGCACGGGAATGCGTGGCACATCAATGCTCGTGTTCCAGTTCGGTGCAGTCAGAAAAAATAGTGAGTGCATCATAGGAAACAGTGAAAATGATTGGGTTAATGCGTTTCAATGGTTAAACCATCTTCATCAGAACCAAAAATATATATCTGACAGATCAGTACGTTGGCCACTGTATTCAGTATATATAGCTCTTACACACACCCACAAGATTGCCCAGGGTCAGCATGAGAAAAACGCAGCCGGGGACACCACTGGTGTCTTCTCTACCCAGCGGGAGATTTGCCTACACCACACGTCCATACAAATGCGGAAGAGGGCGGGTAGATAGATATAATGAGCTGAGCATAGGCTGCATGAGGGAGCTTGCTGACGGATACTTCGCTATATAAAATGTTTAAATGTATTTTAAAATGTTCGATTATATCTTAAATATTATCTTGGATACATGGATACAAAAAATGGAAAGTAGAAACATTGAATACATAAATAGAGTGCATCATGATCACAAATACATCTCCCCAACTGGCATATGCCTAAATTCCATAGGTAATGTATATAAAGAAATAAAGAAATCAAATGAATGTATAAATTAGTAATGAATGATTGATTACGAGTCGATAAAAACATTGATATATAAAAGAATATATATTAATATGAGAATTTAATATATAAAAAACCTCCTTATATGTAAAAAATCTGTTAATTGACATTCAGGTAAGTGTATTGGTGTATACACGTACATGCATATAGAAAAAATGCATGTTCACACACACACACACACTGATGTACACAAAAATATACATATGCATGCATAAAAACCATGAGCAGCCCAAAGTTGCAAGTATTGCATTGATGGTGCAGGTGTATATAAATATTTTAAATATTTTATAGATACATATATCCATTTGGTAAAAATTAGATAGCACATACTATCCATACGAATAGCCATTAAAATAAATATTATTAGCGAAGGGAAAAGTACATTGAAAAATAATTGCAAGAATCGATAGTAAAAACCTACATCAATATCAGACATGACAAACGTTATATTGTACTAGTGCATGATGAATCCCAAGAAATTGTACCAAACATCAGCATGCACGATAAAAAATAACTATGATAATTGTATAGCGAGCGACAGGGTATAAGTAGAACATATTAGCTATATCATTTATAGATGTAATAGCAAGTTTTCTTCCCTATGGGCCTAAAAAATATTTTTTTGTCTGTGTAGCATTAAGTGTCACGAACTGCAATTGGGGCTCCTTCATCTATGATTGCCTATATGGCCAAATATACCTATTAAGCTATCTCTATACTTAATGGTCCTTAATTTACTTGGTGCCAATATGCACTTTAGGTCTTGTGGTTTTCAGAAAACGATTTTAGCCTGGGCGTGAATTTTGAGTATCAGGTCTTTTTGGAGGATTCTCCAATGTTTTTTGAGTATATTGGAAATGTGAAAAGCACAACTATTGTATTGAGTGCAAAAATAGGCTTGGTGAACTGGCGTTTCCTTAGTTCTCTTTTTAGTGTATATAGGATTAATATGTTTATCAAATGCATGTATAGTTGCGTCATTGTACCCTTTTTCCAAAAACGTTTTCGGAAGTACTAACCCTTGAGTGTGATCTTTATCTTTTGTGCAAGTCCTTCTTAATATGCAAAATTGGCCATCTGATATATTACGGATCCATCTAGGGTGATGGTTGCTTTTGCAATGTAGATAAGAATTGCCCCAGGTTGGCTTGAAATAAGTTTTTTAAATGATGGAGCCATCTTCATCAAAACTTAGGTCTAAATCTAAGACTAGATGTTGTTCATCTAAAACATGCATGAATTCAATTCAGTAGGGATTATTTGAGCAATGAGAGATGAACCTAGTGAGTGTTTCTGTGTCTCCATCGCAGATGATAAAAATGTCATCAATGTATCTAGCATTTAAAGCCAGATTGCCCCCAAAAGGATTATTATGCCAAATGTGGAGTTCTTCCAAATATCCCATGAATAAATTTGCATAGCTGGGGCAAATTTGGCCCCATGGCAGTCCCTTTTATCTGAATGTAGAATTATTTGAGAAAAATAAAGTAGTTGTGGGATAGCACAAATTCAATGGCTTCCAAAATGAAATTTGCTTGGGCTGCACATAAACCAAATTCATGTTGGATGGATGTGTACAATGACGATACAGCCAGATAGACCCACAAGAGGCCTTCTTTCTATTTGTAATTGTGTAAAATTTCCAGCATATGTTGGGAATCTCGTACAAAGGCCGGAAGTTCCCAGACTAAAGGTTGTAAAAAAAAGTAATATACCTGGCTAGGTTCTAAGTCAGGCCATCTATACCTGAGATTATGTGGGTTTTTGGGATATGGTAGGAATATGGGATCAGGTGATGTTTAATAGTAAGGTATTTGAACTCTGTTATGGAAAGGATCTTCTTGTTAGGGTCTGTTTGAGTATATTGTCTAATGTGATTTGGAACTCTGCAGTTCTGTCTCCTAGCAGTCTAAAAGACTCTAATATAGAGGCCTCTCTGTTGTGCACTACTTATACCCCTCCTTTATCCGCTTGTCTGATGACAATATTAGTGTTGGATTTTAACTATTGTATCGCATTCTTTTCTGCGGGGGTCAGATTAGAGGACAATTGCAAAAGGTCTGAATATACCAAATGATAAAAAGTAGAGATAAACTAACCTTTCTATTGGTGGGGGTAAAAAATAGAGACCGTATGAATAATGTCAGGGTCAAAAAATGCACAAAGGTCATTAGACATTAGGTTGCCATCCCAAACAGATTCTAGGCAAGAAAGTGCCAATGTGTCGTTTGTATCGATCGTTGTGTTCCCCTCTGATCTATCATAAGATGCTTGCCCTATTTCACCCAGATCCTTGTTCCCTCCAGGTGTATCTGGATTATTCTTTTTCTTCTCTTGTAAGGAGAAATGTCTCTCCATCGTTAATTTACGTATATATCTATTTTTCCACGAAAAGTTGATATTGGTCAGGGGTGGAAAAGGGCACAATCCTGGAAATCCTTTCTGTAGTATTGAAAACTCATTATTACCTAAATTATAATCAGCGAGATTGAAGATTTTTATAGTATTTTTGGCATTGGATCTTAATGTTTTGCCTTTTTGTGGAGTGTTTCTCCCCCCTCTGCAACCTCTTCTTGTTCTTCTATATCTCATTTCTTCTTTAAGCTCCCCTTAGGACTTTTGGCTACCTCTAAAAAAGATTCAACATTCCGTATGACAGTACCTTGCCTTAGAGATCTATTTTTGGGTTTAGCACCTTTAGGAGTCCATCCTAACCCTTTCTCTAATTCTTGTCTTTCTACCTCTAAAGACCATGATGAATCGAATATTTCACGGTCATTCGTTTTTTACTTCTGGGACTCTGATGTCCTTGAAGGAACTGTAATATTTGGTGTCCTCACAACTGTCTTCTTGGGTTGTGTGTTTGAATCATATTGTCTACTTTATGCAAAGTGTTGGCTATATTGATGTCCTGAGTGTTAGATACATTGGAACATTCCTTTGAATAATGTGCCTCCTGAGGAAAGTGTCTGTTGCTGATGGTGATGGTGTAGTGTTTGACTTGGATAGGGGTCTGGTTAAAACCTTTAGATTTCCCTTTGTGGAATTGTCTGAACTTATCTTTAGGTTTAATTAAACCTTTATTATGTATCACTGTCTCACTGGTAGGGACTGAAGTGTGAGCTATATCATTGGAACCTGTTCCTGAATGGTTCTGGTCACTCTTAACATTACGTTTCCAAACAAAGATCCTCCCTTCATGAAAATTAAGTCTGTCACGTTCAAATGTAAATCTTTTCTCTAAAACTTTGTTTTCAAATTTACATACTTCCCTATTAAGCTTGTCATCCCTTTCCTAAAAGGAAGGGGCATCCTTAAAAGATTCCAGGGACTGGTTAATGTGAGAAGCCTGTTCTTTGATTTTATTCAGAAATCGTTCTCTCTGCTAAATAATGAGTGTAATCCAGCCCTTGGAACATTCTAAGGCTAGTTTTTCCCAAGCTTCTCTAAGATCTGTCTCCAAAAAAAAAAAAAAGTTTAGTAACCCTGAGCCCTCTTGGTATTCGTTCTGCTTCCAGATATATTTTCAATGACTCTGAGTCCCACCAGTGGATCATCTCCTGCTCAAGACAATTCTTAAGATGATAAAATAATGTAATCATCTTTTTCTGCTCCTTCTTTTGAACATCATTGACAACCTCATGTCTAGGACTGTTGTGTTCCACAATAGCAGATGTTACAGCTAGTGAATCCATCCAACAGGGCAGTACGTCTGAGTACACTGTCTTGGACAGATGAAGTCATTATTAACTAAAAGCCAAAAAGTAAAGTACTTTTGCCAATGTATTCAGGAAGCTCGTTAGTAAAGCATCCAGTATACACTGGCATCATGTTTCTTTGGAACACTGGATCCTGTATAGGGCCGAAATTCAATTTGCAAATACTGAAACCTATTAAATCCCACCGCAATTCATAATACAATATGTGTACCTCATTAGGTTGGACCACATGGAGTGACAATGACTAACAATGAGTTTAAATATAATTCTGTTTCTAGCTTGGATTTTATACCAGCATTAGACAACAATTTGCTTAGGTGCTCTGAAAATAAGATGAACATAGAATGCATAGGCAGCATGTACTCTGATTTACCACAGCTTACCAATGTAGCATACCCTTGCTGTGACAAATCTTTCTCAAATACTGACTTTCTGTAGGTTTTCCCATCTCACTTAAGTGATTGTATTACACACTATCAGTTGCCAGTGTCATAGCTAGACAGGATATAAGAACGGTGGATAATAGTGATTGCTGAGTATTGTGAACCATGTAAAAAAATACAAACAAGTACTAATGAGTAAAACACAAATCCTTAGCCACTACATTATATATATGCAAGGCATTCTGTGATTGGAGGATATTGTCTCACTGTCTGTATGTGTTTTTACCTTTTTGCTGCTGTAGGTCTGCTGGCACCTGTGATTCCACAAGCATGTGCTTTCCTCTTGCTGCACTGTGTTAGCAGCCATGGGTGTCGCCCGCTTCACCTGAGGCTTAATATACCTTCCTCCCTGCTACTTCCTGTCTTGCCTCCTATCTGTCTCTCTATTTAAATCCCTCTCAGTCACGCTTCTGGTTGCGTGAGCAACACTCTGCTTCCAAGCCCCTCTTGTGCATTTATTTCTGACCTGACTTCCGTGTACTGATCTCTCATGTACCGACTTGGCTTGTTCTCCGGAGTACGATTGTCTACTGCCCGCCCTGACCTTTGGCTTGTTGTCTGGACATCCTTTTGCTCCATCCGTCCTTGCCCACACTGTGTCTTGTGTCTTTGGGTACTCTCTATGCCAGCAGGATGAACCCCAGGTTCGTGACCTGGGGTCAACATGCAGCTAAGTCTAAGTCAAATGCCCATGAAGGGGGTCCCTGGTGGAACACCCCCTGGCCCTTAGATTGCACCCCCTGGGGGATCCCATGCCACATGCTCACCTGTGAGCTCACATCCTGGCAGATATGTGGATGAATGTTGAAATCTCACCTCCTCCAATCGCTTAACACCTTGAACTCACTGAAAAGAATGCAAAACATTTGTGAATGGAGGTTGAGCTACAGCACGATATCCACTGTGATCAGCATATGACATCCGGGACTTGAAATTGCTAGACATGTGGCATTGGCAGGACAGTGCAGGCTCAATCTAAGAGACGTAACAAATGCTGCAGCAACCAGAAATGGAGCACACTTTGTTTGTCATTTATTGCTACCGTGCAAAAACTTTAAAAAGGGTTTTTGGCTGGAGTTCAGCTTCACATTTGGAAAACAAATGTGACAAACAACTACAAGTAAATGTGCAATAAATAGATACAAAACATCAAGTTGCACATCCAGTTTACGCGCAAGTAACACAATCCGTTAATCCCCACAATATTAAAATAACAAACAGCTATTTATATAATGGTCGCTACACGGTTTTGGATACTATATCTGGCAAACCCATACATTTACATCCTGTAAAAGTCAAACTCTAACTGCAAATCTGCTACACAACTTTGGGTAAATACAAGCATTCTAAAACTGCTTACCCAGTAAAGAAATTATTTGTTATTTATTTAGTCTATTTGAATATAGATTTAATTTTAAAAAAGTGACTGATAAAGGCTATGGCAAAATACCTTCTTATAAACAACAGAGTGTCTTATCAACAAGAAGAGAAGATTCTGTTCTAGGCAGAAAATTATTTATTTAGGTACACAAACTACCTTCATTTGAAAAAGTAAAGTAACACAAGTCTTCCATTGGTGTCACGGTGCCAGTCTGCAGCACGTCTTGTACTGTCTTTGCCGTCTTCCAGTTGACTGTAATTATATGGAAATTGTCATATTTTAATTTTGTCTAAGACACCCATCCTTTATATGGTATGTAGAGAGACAGTCTAATGGTTCTACTCCATGTCTACAGGCACTTATGATCTGGTGTGTCTGGAAAGTCTTCAAGTCACTGAATCTTTTGGCAAAGAAGAAAGAAACACCTCAACAACAAGATTTCACAAAGGTAGGATGGCAAGCTTACCCAACTACCAGTACCATCACATTAGATTAAATGCAAAGAGAATGTAACTGTAAGATACATTTCATCTACTAATGACCTTAGCAGATATGATATTGTTGTGGATTGTTTGCGGAGAGCTCGGAAGTTTACTCAAGGGAATACTTGGTGAGAAGCCATTCATATTATGCAGGGCAGTCACCTCACTTACAGGCAAAGTAAACAGGGACAGTTTCATTTTATGAGAATTAGTATGAATATGAATGAAGGTAGCTGTTTTAAACAGAAACTTTTCACAAGAACTTTGATTTGTAACAAGTTTATTTTCAATGGATCAGGACCAGAGGAAGTACTGCAGGAGTACTGAAATAATTGTCTTTGGCCTTAATATGCAAAAGCACACTATGGATTCCTTTATGTTATGTGGATCACATGTATATATTGTATAGAGATGTATGTTTCATATTCCATATTTCCTTTAGACCTCCCCATAATTTATAGAGTCAATGTTGACATCCTATGGTGATCGGAATAGAAGCTGCTACATCACATTTGTGACACTATTTCATTGCACGTTAATTGTAATACCAGGTTTGTAAACTTGCAGAACAGATATGAAAATAACTGTCAATTAAAATGAACCTGGAGAACATGTTTAAAATGCTTGGTTTGGTGGTACTAGGGCCAGATTGTCACCAGAGACTGTAGGCATACACACCCCAAGATCACCTTTCAGCTAGGATTACCTCTTTTAAACAGAACTTGCTTTATGGGTTCCTATCCAGGCTACCGGGTACCAAAGCTTCAGCATGAGCCCATCCCTTTTTGGCCTTCTTTTGAATGTAATGAATTCATGAATATACACTTGGATTTTTTAAAAATTAAATACAGTATATAGGATTGATTTATTAAAGGAGTAGAACATGTTCACTTTACAAAGTGAATGTTAAATGTTTATATTGTAAAGCGCTGTGCAGATTGTTGGCTCTACATAAATCCTGTATAATATTAATAATATTAAAGGGCTGGTTCATACCACTGCCATTGTGCTGCAGCACACAGCCTTTCTTTCAATAGGTGTAGTTCACACCAATGTTTTGTTTTGTGGAGAGACACAGATCCAGAATTGACAGTGTGGAGAGAAACCGAGATAGAGAGGACAGCGTGGAGACAGAGAGAGATAGAGGACAATGTGGAGAGACACAGAACCAGAGAGGACCATGTGGAGAGACGCAGAGATAGAGAGTAAAATCTAGAGAGACACAGAGCCAGAGAGGATAGTGTATAGAGAGACAGAGATAGAGAGGACACTGTGGAGAGACACAGAGATAAAAAGGACAATGTGTAGAGGTACAGAGCCAGAGAGGATAATGTGGAAAGATTCAGAGATAGAAAGGACAGTGCGGAGAGCCAGAGAGGACAGTGTGGAGTAAGACAGAGATAGAGAGGGCAGTGTGGAAAGACACAGAGATGGAGAGGACAATGTGGAGAAACACAGAGCCAGAGAGGACAGGGTGGAGAGACACAGAGATAGAGAGGACAATGTGGGGAGACGCAGAGATAAAGAGGACAATGAGGAGAGGCACAGAGCCAGAGAGGACAGTGTGGAGTAAGACAGAGATAGAGAGGGCAGTGTGGAAAGACACAGAGATGGAGAGGACAATGTGGAGAAACACCGAGCCAGAGGACAGGGTGGAGAAAAAATTAGAGCCAGAGAGGACAGGATGGAAAGATACAGAGCCAGAGAGGACAGAGTGGAGAGATACAGAGCCAGAGAGGACAGGGTGGAGAGATACAGAGCCAGAGAGGGCAAGGTGGAGAGATACAGAGCCAGAAAGGACAGGGTGGAGAGATACAGAGCCAGAAAGGACAGGGTGGAGAGATACAGAGCCAGAAAGGACAGGGTGGAGAGACACAGAGCCAGAGAGGACAGTGTGGAGAGACACAGAGATAGAGAAGAAAATGCGGAGAGACACACAGGTAGAGATGTTAGTGTGGAGAGAGACAGGGCCAGAGAGAAAGGAAAAAAGAGCACCACAGAATGCAAGATAACGTAACAAAAATGCATTGAATACGCAAGCACAAACGCATGTTAACACGTTACAAAAATGCACAAAAACGCACTTCAGCACAAGTGCCATAAAGCTTGTTTTGTGGTGTGAACCAGCCTTAAGAGTAAATATGATGAAGCTATGTTCACATGAATTATCCAAACATATGCAAGAATTTTTTTAAAATTTTTATTTACCCTTGCTCATAATCGGGTATTCTATATTAGGACAGTTTCACTTTATTCAATGAGCTAATTAAACATTCTAGAGTGCAAGTCCATAGAACATACATTTGCATTTCTAACACTGTAACTATTTTATTAAAATGGTGTAGGTACAATTGCTACTGATTTCACCATTCAAATATTTTATCCAGAAAGCTACCAATATGCTATTTCTTTATTTTCTCCAAATGTTATTTCTTTGTGTTACAGGTAGCACTACCATCTTATGAACAGGCTGTTAAGGCATCAAAAGATTCTCCACCTCCATATTCCATTGTCTAAACCACAAGGCCATAAGAGAAACCAGCTTCTGTCCACAGTAATGAGCCATCCTTTATGGCGCCAAGTGATGGAGACCAAAGGATGCTGTGCAATAGGCAGTACATAGTTTCCAATGCAAAGCAACAAAGACCAAAGGGAACTACAGTGCATGGACGCTGTCTATCTATGCAAAGCAATGCAAGTAAACATTATTTAAAAGCATTTTTGCAGACAGACCATTTTAAGAATGTCAGTATAACAGCAGAAAATTAATTTAGCTTGTCTTAAAACTCAGCAAAAGATTTGTTGAAACTAGAGTGATCTGTGCTTTTATATGCAATAAAATGGGCTAAGTATAAACCTATGTATATTTGTATCATTTTCTGAGTTAGGATTTATAGGGAAATTTCATTATTAACCTTTCTTCCTTTGAGGACAAAGTATATTGTATGTTCATTGGAACACCAATGATAGCGAAGGAGAGGCATACTTTTAAATTAGAGGAAACGTTTGGGAAATCAAAAGTAGGTTTTAGATTTGGCAATTAAAGTTTAATTTGCTTTAAAGAAAACTATTGACAATAACACACAGTTCTGATACTAGCAGAGTGAAGTAAAGTGATTACAAACACTGTAAAGGTATTACAGTCAATCTGTGACACAGACACCGTAAAGGCCAGAATGAAGCAAAAGTATAACTTTAATATTCTAGAGTACACAAGCTCAGCGCACAGGCTGAAAAACACAAAAAAGAAAATAAATATTCATCTATAGTGGTAATCTAAAAACAAAATAGAAAAACAAATAGCAAACACGCATCTGTATTGGTAAATTGAGTAAAAGTATTTATAATTGCAACATAAATATAATTTTCAAAGCACTGTAAGCAGATTTATCCAGCCTATAAAATCTTGTAGAATACAGTCCATTGGGACCTGATCATAACAACAAACATAATAAGCAAAATATAAAACAAGAATTTCACACACATTTAATATCTTAAAGCAGACGTACACATTCACCATTGAGGATAAGTGAATCTGCCTGGATTCGATTTGCCAAGGGTTCAGAGAACCCTATTTAAAATTCTTAGCTTCAAGACTTGGGGTTTTGAAGCCTGATGGGATAGGCGTGCTGATCCTGCTCTCTGTCCCACTGCAGCACAGATCACCATCTGACTCTCTGTCTGACAAATGGGTAACACTTCCGAATGCCTCACGGCAAATCTAAGATGGCCATGGACAAATATACACTATACTGTATTGCCAAAGGTATTGGGACACCCCTCCAAATCATTGGATTCAGGTGTTCCGTGATATTTCCTTGCTACTAAATATTCCACAGTCAACTGTTAGTAGTATTATAACAAAATGGAAGCAACTGGGAACAACAGCAACTCAGCCACGAAGTGGTAGGCCACGTAAAATGTATCCATGCCTTACAGCACCAAGTGCAATGCAAAGCCACGGATGCAGTGGTGTAAAGCGCGCCGCCACTGGATTCTAGAGAAGTGGAGACGTGTTCTCTGGAGTGACGAATTACGCTTCTCTCTCTGGCAATTCGATGGACGTGTCTGGGTTTGGCAGTTGCCAGGAGAATGGTACTTGCCTGACTGCATTGCACCAAGTGTAACATTTGGTGGAGGGGGCATTATGGTGTGGGGTTGTTTTTCAGGGGTTGGGCTTGGCCCCATAGTTCCAGTGAAGGGAACTCTTAAAGAAGAAATATGGGGTTAGGGGTTTTCCCCATAGTTCTCCTAAGGGTAACGGGAGGACACAAACTAGCGTCCTCCCATCACCCAAAGCTCAGTATACCGCGAGCTACAGCTCGTGGTATACTGAGACGCCAGAACGGCTGCCGACAATTCTGTCTGAATCCATCCAGCTGTGTGAGTGACAGCTGGCTCTGCCTATCTAGAGGAAGAGCCAGCTGTACCCGCCCCCTCCCCCGTCCGTTCCGCCAGTCAGCGCTGGGGGATCGGACAGTGGAGGGGGTAACCCTGTCCCTCCCCTGTCACGGCTCTCTGCATGGACAGATCGAGAAGTGAGCGAGCGTCAGTATGTGTTCGCTCACTTCCTGACTCAGATTATGAGGCTGAGTGAAAATCACTCACCTCATAATTCTCCTTTAAGGCATCAGCTTACCAAGACATTTTGGACAATTTCATGGTCCCAACTTTGTGGGAACAGTTTGGGGATGGCCTGTTCCAATATGACCACGCACCAGTCCATAAAGACGCAGCAAGGTCCATAAAGACGTGGATGAGTGAGTTTGGGGTGGAGGAACTTGACTGGTCTGCACAGAATCCTGACCTCAACCCGATAGAACACCTTTGGGATGAATTAGAGCGCAGGCTGCAAGCTAGGCCTTCTCGTCCAACATCAGTACCTGACCTCACAAATGCGCTTCTGGAAGAATGGTCAAACATTCCCATAGACACACTCCTAAACCTTGTGGACAGCCTTCCCAGAAGAGTTGAAGCTGTTATAGCGGCAAAGGGTGAGCCAACTCAATATTGAACCCTACGGACTAAGACTGGGATGCCATTAAAGTTCATGTGCGTGTAAAGGCCGGCGTCCTAATACTTTTGGCAATATAGTGTATGTCTCAACAGCAGTCTGCAAATCTCTCCTTGCCCAGCTATCAAGAGGGGGATAAGAGCTCTCACAAGATGTCGGCCACTGAAAAGATTATACACAGCACAGTGAAAGAATTGGACGGTGAGTTGCACACTTCTCACTCTACCCAAAAACTACCAGAAACTCACCTCCGAGGTGGCTTCACACCTGAGAGCAGACATTTACAACATCCTTGCCGATATTATTAAACACTAATTGGGCAACTAACCACAACTCTAGAGACCCAGACTCACCTGCTTTTGGCTGCGGAACAGAGGATTGATGATCTGGAGGACAATGCAGCACTCCTTACAACTAACATTTCTGAAACTGTGTACCCTCACTGATATGATGTCTGATTAATTTTACCTGGACTCATTAGTGACTGGAAGGGTACCAAGTGACTGGTGTAAAGCTATGGTAGTACCAATATTCAAAAAAGGTTCGAGATGACAACCTGGGAACTACAGACCAGTCAGTCTAACATCAATAGCATGCAAACTGAGGGTATGATAAAGGACTATTTACTGGATTTTGTTTGTGACAATGGTATAATAAGTAATAATCAGCACGGATCTATGAAGGACCATTCTTGTCAGACCAACCTACTTATAGTCTATGAAGAGGTGAGTAGAGATCTGAATAGAGGAAAGCAAGTGGATGTTGTTTACCTGGATTTTGCAAAAGCATTTGAGACAGTACTTTGGTTGTGAAGCAAAACAAACGACAAACGCACTCAACAATTTGTTACCAGTTATACAGTAAGGTGCACACGAAATGGGCTTTGAACAGTAAAACAGCAGAAAGGCATCATGGCACACTCACAAACCAGCATGTAAAACAACATGTCTCACCACTAAGGATAATGACAGAGGTTTGGATACACGTCTTCAGTCGAGGATGTGTAAGCCGCACTGCCGCGCCAAGGCACCTCTTATAGTGCGGTCCTAACTCTAAACTATGAGAGTCTCCATCTTGGAGCACATGGGGGCAGAAGATATCAAATTGGGTGCAGGTTTGTCAGGAGGACGCCCAACCTCCTTAAAGGTACAGAAACACACAAGGGATCCCGCACATCCTATTGGCAGCTGAGAAACCCCATGCGTCGCTGCACCAAATCAGTCAAGCAAAACAAAACGACAAACGCACTCAACAATTTGTTACCAGTTATACAGTAAGGTGCACACAAAATGGGCTTTGAACAGTAAAACAGCCGAAAGGCATCATGGCACACTCACAAAACCAGCATGTAAAACAACATGTCTCACCACTAAGGATAATGACAGAGGTTTGGATACACGTCTTCAGCCGAAGATGTGTAAGCCGCACTGCCGCGCCAAGTACTGTAATACTTTGGTTGTGGACCCTTCCTCTAACCATGTGGTCCAGTAAAACAAATTTAGTTTAATCTCTTCATTCTTTCACATGCTAGTGGAAGGCAGGAATGGCCTCCTGCATAAAAAATTTGCCGCCATGTATCTGTGGTTCAGCACAAGCAGCAAATTCACAGAAGAGTGCAGACTCAACTAGCTAAAACTAGAGCAGCTGTAATGCTAGCAATTTTGCCAAGCTGACATTGAGATGCTGGACATGGAGGTGGCTGGCTGAATATTTTTTACACTCCCGCAGCTGGGGAAGAGATACCTGCCTGTTCTGGGATGTAGCTGGAGACAGCGTGGTGGGGCTAGGATACTTAGAGTGCGGTTGAAAGTTAAGCATGGCCCAAGCTGACCTTCATCCCTGCTTGATGTGCCATAAGCTAAGCCTCTCAAACCCCTCATCACACTTCCATCTGTACCACTTGAGATGTTGCATTAGATGCAGGTAGAGAATCATGTGTAGTGGAAGAGGTGGAAAGGGATCAGCGAGAAGGTGGATTTTGCTGCTAACCAGTATCATTCATGTGCTGCTTCCACTGAGTTTTGTGGTGATCAATCATGTGTCTCATACTGCATGTGGTACCAAATTGACTGGCAGATTAACCAGTCTTGATACAATGCAGCATACGCTGCAAATTACTTTGGTGCTTTCTGCAGCACATATAGGGATTTCTGCAGCATACAACAAGGGATTCCAGTGCCTGACCCGTGGAGCAGTCCCATCCAGTATTATAGGGCAGCTGCTCCATTCCACTCTTCTGCAAGCTGCCCCTGGATGACATCCAGCCTCACTGATGTTGTGCCTCTCCTTCACTTTCCTCCTCGACAATCTCGGGCACCCAGGTATGGTCTGCCACCTCATCATCCCCACCTTCCCCAAAGGTGGAGCCCACTTGGCAGTAAGCTGAAAGTGCAGGAACATCACTGGCAATTGTTTGGACCTCTATGCTACTGGCACTCTCTTTCTCAACATATGGTAAATTAAGGTTGCTGATGCTGTGCTCAGACTATTCAGCCAATGTCCTAATGCCAGTTTGCAGGGCGACAGTGGGATTAGCTGTGCAAGAGGAGGAAGAAGAGAGTGCATTTGCACCTGCTGATGACACTACTCTGCACCTGGGATAAGGAAGGGGGTGACGATGAAGGCTTGGTTATCCACTCCACCACATTCTTTGGATGCTCTGATTGCACAGCATGCCCACTGCCAGAAAACGTGCCCTGGCTTACAGTTGTGGGATCTGCTTGCCCCCTACTAGCTGTGTGTAAAGAACCTTTGCCTTTCCCTTTAGGCATCCCAGGCATGATGACAACAGGGGATTGGCTAATTTTATTAGCAGCTACGGCAATAGGGGGGTGGAGGATGTGGTGCTTTGGTGCGCAGCACAACTTGGCGATTTGGTGCAGTAAACTGGATCGCAATAGTATGCACTAATGTGCTGTTAACAAAGGACAGCTTTTTCTGTGTCACCAACAAGTTTCCGGAAGTTTCCGGAAACAAACAAAAATGTAAATTATATAGAAATAAAATATACCTACCTCCAAAAAGAAAACTAAAACACTAAACCCCAAACACCAACCATTAAACACTATAACCCAAACACCTTTCTTTTTATTTATTTACTTATTTATTTTAGCAGAAACATAAAGAAAACTAACCCTTGCAGTGGGGCTACCCCCGCACTTCAAGGGTTAACTGCTCATTTGGGTCTAGCGTGTAAAATAAAAAAGATATACTCACCTGAACCTCGGTCCCACCTGGCTGTTAGATCGGTCCCAGCAGCCTCTCTCCTCCTCCACTCCGGAGTCTGGGACCTGTCTAGCAGCCAGTCTTGGGATAATAGCAGAAAGTGAATTAGTATGAAAATATACTAGGGATGTTTTATAAAACTAAGTCTAACTTAGTCTACAGCAACCAACCATATTCCAGGTACTATTTTTGCAGCACAAGTTAGTCAACTGACTGATTCTGGTGCCAGTTAGTAATGGGCCGAACACCCCCGTGTTTCGGTTCGTATTCGAACACCCGAACGGCCGAAAAGTTGGAATAGGAACTCGAACCTAATGCAAGTCAATGGGGTCAAACTTTAGAAAATGATTGTCCCCTTTAAGAGTGCTTATATGCAAGTTATTGTCCATAAAAGATGTATGGGGGGTCAGGGTACTGCCCTGGGGGACAGGAATCAATGAAAAAACAAACAAATAAAAATATGTTTTTAAAGGAACAGTTATTTTTTACATGACTTAACGGGTAAGAATAAAATGAAAAATTCCTTCAAATATCCTGCCTGTGAAGTGGCGGATCTGTGGGATGTATAGAACCTGCTGCTGCAAAACTGACATTTCTAAAAAAAAAAAAATGTAATTTTTTTTAACTCTTAAAGTGTGCAGTTCCCCCTCCCAAACAATACCAGACCATTTAGATCTGGTAGGACAGACCCTTAAGGTCTGGCGGGAATTTTAAGGAGGAACACCACCCCCAAAAATGGGGGGGGGGAACCGCGGGGTCCCCATTTTTGCATTGGGGTACCCCTGTAATTAAGGGGGCACCCAGATGCCACCCCCCTTCCTTGTGAATGAGTAAGGGGTACTCGTACCCCTACCCATTCACTAAAGGGTTAAATCAAATAGTTATTAAAAAGTCCAGACTTTTGATAAAACCCTTTAATTGAAAAAAAAAAAAAAAAAACAGGTTTTTGACAAGTCTTTTATAAAGTAAAATACAAAAATTGATCCACTCACTTAATCCATGGTCAATCACGACGTCCAGCGTTGTTCACGACGACGACCAAATAAAAAATAAAACAATAAAAAATAAATAGAAATAATTTTTAAAAAATTAAAAAACGCCGGCCGCCATCCCAGCCGCACCCCACGACTCCCGCCGCATAATGGCATGTTGACAGATGCCGGTAAAACATAAACAATTGGGTGGAGCTAGCGGTGACAGCTAGCTCGCCCCAATTGGGTAGTTTGCCCTAATCTGATGGGCGAGACATGATTGGGCAGAGTCATCATGACTTTGCCCAATCATGGCTCCAAATGAGTACTGAGCCCTGATTGGGCAAACTCTTGCACCTGACCTGAGGTCAGGTGCAAGTATTTAGCCAATTAGAGCTTCGGAGGGCTCTTTGCAGTATGGGACATTGTGCGGTCAAACAGACCGCAAACATCCCATAAAGTGGATGCCCACATGATTTGCCCAATCATGGTGTTCGGCAGCCAATGTTCGATTCGAACTCGTGTTCAAATCGAACCGGCAGACCATCCCTAGTGCTAGTACTGTACTTTGTGATCTGGAACAAGAGTAAGCAAAATTACAGTGCAGTGAAACCGAATCTGCATACTTGTCACTGGGGATGAGCAAATCGGGCAAAGTTCGATTCACAGGAGTTTCCGCATACCTAGCAAAAAGTCAGTTAACCACGTACTTAGCGCCAAACACCATTTTCTAAAGCCAATGCACAAGCTATTGTTAAAAAAAGGCCATTGGGGACATGTTCCATTGCAATTTTCTTTTTTCTTTATACCATTTAGCAAGGAGAGGCTGGTTTATTGCAGCTTAAAGGACAACAATGAAAATGCACAAATCTAGGCTGCATGCTTGGATAAGGGTCTATTAAACTTTATGGGTACCCCACACTCTTGTGTTTTTTTTTTGTTTCATTGTTTTTTAAATGGTACATGCTTTTTCAGAAAAAAGAAACAGCACGGTCAGTTTGTTCACTGAACTGTGAACAAGCTGGGTTTGGGTTGAACCTGAATTTCATCCCTACTTGTTACAGGTCAGCAACACAGAAAGTGTTATAGCCACTGAAACGTCATGGCAGCCAAACAACTGACATTTTCAAATGGAAAGGACTACAATGGCAACCTTCATAGTTCTCTCAGTAAAAATATTCTTTATTAATATTTTGTGTTAATATTTCAGCCTTCAACTAGTGTACGTGTAGTGTATGTAGGGTGGTGTATTTGTGTACTAGTGTACATGCATGACTGTATGTATGCTGTTTTCTTTTCTGCTGTACTGACTAAGCTCCTTATTATCGCAACATGGTTTTCAATCAAGGATCACATTTTAAAAAAATCTGCTTCACTGCAGATGGCAGGAGTTAAATATAGGGAGTAGTCATATGGAGGGAAAAGAGGAAAAGTAAAGTATACAAAGTGATTAAAGCTACTGGCTGTGTAGAAAGGAGAACTTGTAAGTACTGTGTATAAACGGGAACAGTTGCTGTTTTGTTTTAGTTGTTAAATAAAAGCATAGTGCAACATCACAGACTTTCAATAAAATAAGGTTTCTGAGGTCAAACTTTTCTTTAACTTGTTATGTGTCACCACAGAGCAAATGTGCTACAAATGGTTGCTATAGTCTATTTCAGTTGCTTATAGAGCTCTATTGCAATGCTGCCCCGTAGTTTTGAATAGTGGCGCAGAGGGCTACGCAGATACTTTGTGTGCTAAAGCTGGAATTAGCCGTGATCCTGAACAGAGATCTTTATGTCTTCCCTGCAGATACAGGACTCCATTTATAAGTTACACTGAAAGGCTCTCATTTAGGTGCTTTCACCTGATTACCATTAGTAGTAAAACTACCAGCTGCAGTCGACAAGCATTCCGTGCCTTCATTCACTTTTCTTAGACTGGTGGAAAACAGAGCCCACAGCTGGTCCTCTGGGTGCCCTCACCAGCTCAGCTATCTAAACTAAGATTCAGCACTGGATAGGTGAACAGCCACCGCTATTAAATTCCCTATCGTTATGTTATGTCTAGGCGATCTCTAACACAGCTGTTTTAAACATGCTTCAAGAGTTTCTCTTGTACCCACTACTTTGCTATAGTAAAGTGAAGTCAAGTAAATGAAAGAGTTAACTTTAATGTGTTGAAAACCAATATTACAAAACCTTAAATATACTTTCCTTAATCTTCCTCCTCCTAATTCACCTCCCTCAAGCCAGTCCCCACCCATTCCATCCCTCTATGTCACTGAACTGGGAGGCACACCTGGAGGGACGTAAGTAAGATACCTTGAACACAAATTACCCATTCCATCATCTTCACTTTGCTTTCTGACTTCCCTCTGGACATCATGAAGACCTGTCTACTCTCGGCTCTTCTGCTCTTCAGCTGCTATGCCTATGTTGCAGTGGGAGCACCTCCACAGCAGCAAAGGGGTAAGTGCCTTATTTAATTTTTAATGGCCTCAGCACAAACGTGTAGACAATGCATCGGTAAAACATTTATCCAGAATACTATTTTTTAAACCTCAGCACTGTAACTTAAAGTGTTACAAGAACTCCTATTAGGCACTTTTAAGCGGTAGAAGGGGTACTTCTAACAATTTAGTTAAAATTCAAACAAATTAGTTAGTTTATATTTGAGTTCATTTATACAATTGTAGCTGGATAAATATTTTAGTTAAGCAAAAATTATTACTCATAGTAAACTGCAACAAGCTATGTTTTGGAGAATAAAAATAAATTAGCAGCCATGTACAGTAAGGCAGTGCAAACTGCGATAAAAATGTGAAAAGTACAATAAGACATAGTAACCAATCAATTTACAGTTTTCTTAAATCAGATCAGTAAATGTGTTCTAATTGGTTTCTCTGGGTTAATAATGGAACACCTTAAAGTACTTGTAATCTACATGTATATGGGTACATACTTTAAGTGTACCTGATACTCAAGTTTACTTGTTGCTCCAAATTTGCAAATATATGATTCACATCATACCACACTATGTAATTTCAGGAAAACATACATTGTTTATGTGGTCCTCCAACAGTCATTCTTAAATCAAAAAATAAATCATCTCCTGTACATCTGACCACATCTCTTTAACATGTTATAAACGTAAGCGATCCGGACATCCATGTCATAACATGTCTCCTACAGTTTAAGAGGCAATGGCAGACCTTTTACAAAGATATACTTTGACATCTAAACAGCTCTTCTATTACAAACCATGCAGATATTATTAAGACTGTATATTTTTTAAAATCTTCTGCACGTCCAATCAAAATGAACAAAATTACCTAGCAGACACCCTAATGTGCCGCAACACACCTGTACTATAACAGCACAGCTCCTTTTGCATTTACTTTCGGAAAGTCACTATTTTGATAGCTTTATGCAAATCCACGTTGACAATGCTCATGCCTGGTGCCCAGGTAAAACCATTGCCTTGTGTGAGCAGAAAGTATAATAATATTCCCCATATCCAAAGTTTGGGTTTCCAGGAAGCTCAAATGGCAATATGGGAAGTTGTACTGTGACAGTATAGGTATGTTGTAGCAAATTCTAGTGCCTACTAGCTATCTGCATACTTAGTTTATTGTATATGACTACAGTACAGGTTTACATTAAAGGTGATATTGTCACATTACAAAAAGATAAATAATTGTAAAATACACATATGAATCCCCTTTCTACATCTATGTATCCTAAGTGTACCTCAATAAACTGTAAATGTACAAAATAATATATTTTATACTGTCAAATTATTTCAGCAACAATTACTGTACACCATTGCTCTTCAAACGGTGTTATTAAATTGTCCCTATTATTTGAAATACCTGAAATTGAAGAAAAAAGTTCTATCATTTTAGAAGAGTTGGAACGTTTTCTTACATTAGCTTGTTTTTGGCCTGTTATTATTAGAAGCTTAACCTAGGTTAGTCTCTATCAAATGACGCTGTTGACATTTCCAAGTAGGGAAATTTATTGTGAAAATGTCACATTTGCTCATATGATTCAGGAAAATCTGGAGATCTGCATTAATTAGAGTAATACTTATTCTAATTATGCAATATGTATAGATTATTTATGTATATACATTTGCATAATTATCTTGTGCATTACTATTATTTTTATTGCAACCATTATTGTTATTGTTGTTTATTGTTATGATTTCTTTATGATTATAGATGGTTTCTAAGATTATGTTTTCAGATTTTTAATAATGATGATTCAAACCACCAAGAATGTGCTAACAGTTTGAAGGCTGCATCTTAATGACTACACAGAGCTTGGTGTGGTGTATAGTTAGGTCAGAATTCAAATCCTCAGTGGCTTCTGTGAAATACACTGCTTGTATGAACATTCCATAGATTTAGTGTAGTTATAATTTACATTGATCCTGCCCTCTGGTAAGTGGGTATAATAGATAAAAAAAATATTGATTTTAATTGTTCACCTCAGTTGTTGCTGATATCTTTCTTCTCATAACAAATAATACAACAAGTGCTTTTATTTAAAGATTTGTGTAGTGTATTGACAGCAATTTGTGGCATAGAAATACTTTATTATGTGAAACAATCATGTTAATACTAATTTTAGGTTCATAAAGGTATATTATCATTTGCATGCTATTTTTCAATTACTAAGTATAAAGATGGTCTATAGTGAACAAAACAGATAAATATTATCAAGTGGATAAATCCCACAACTGAAAGAATGTTCCAGGTTTTTGTCACTTCTATTTAGTCAAGAAACAAGTTAAGGCATTGCAAGGTGTAAGGTGTTTGCCAGCTTTTTGGAACCCAATATGGAGATCAGGTTTTAAAATGAATTCAGCCTGCACTGGAATATGCTGTCATTTACTAATGATCACAGCCATACATACACAGTGGAATAACAAATGAAGCATCATACTGATTAAATCTCTTCACGGTACAAACATATTGATTTTGACCTTTATTTTTAAAATATTATCACTGTTTATCTCAAGCTGATACTTCTGTGCATTAGGCTTTAGAAATTAGTTTTCTTTAATGAGATATTGTCACAGTTAGTGGGCAGATCACAATCATCAGTCTTGTATCCCGCAAACCCCATTTTGAAAATGACTGAATGTTTTACCAGTAGTTTTATGGAAAGTGGCTCTGTTGCTGTGTGTACCCCACAAAGATCTTCTTTCAGTTGTAGTCATTTATGATTTAATGATGTGTCTTGCTGACTGTAGACAGCTGAGAACTATAAAAGAGTTTATGTTATTGAATTTACCAGATAACTGAGACACATAGATAATTACTTGTTTATTTTTGCCTCTCATCCAACAAAGGCCCAAACTGCAGGACTCATCCAACTGACCTGGTATTCATCATAGACAGCTCACGTAGTGTACAACCTTCTGAATTCGAACGAGTGAAGGACTTCTTGTCTCAGGTCATCGAATCTCTGGATGTCGGTGTAAATTCTACAAGAGTTGGAGTCCTCAATTATGCCAGCTCTGTCAAAAATGAGTTCTCTCTCAAAACTCACAAGACAAAAGCTGCATTACTTCAGGCAGTCAAAAAAATCCAGCCTCTGTCCACCGGTACAATGACAGGCCTTGCTATTCAATATGCCATCAACCAGGCTTTCACTGAGGGCGAAGGGGCACGTCTCAGGTCACCAGGTATCAAGAAGGTGAGCAGTACATATATTAATCTACCACAATAATCCATAAACCACTATATCAGAAGAACTATTTATTAACTATAAACATAAATCTTATTCTCAGATTTGGTAATAATAAATCACATTTGCAATATTAATTGTTCCTACAGTGTCCAGTACAACATGACTGATACAAGATGACGTGTTTCCATACAATAAGGTTCACCTTGATTGTATGATGTGTCATGGAGTACACACATTTCTATGTCAATAAACTTTAAAAGGTATATTGAAGATCTGAAATATCACTGCAAAATAAATGTAAGGAGTTTCCTCATACATTTTTTTATGAATTGATTCAATTTGTCTTGCATGAATGGCAATCTAATTGTTCATTTCCATATGAGCAAAACTTTGAAAGATTGTCTTTCTATCCTGGTATGAGCTACTAAGCTTCTAAAAAAAGAATGCGTTAGCAGTAGCACATATTTTCTAATTGAGCTGAGGAGAACAGAAAATTTCCAAAAACAATCTCTTCTTAAAGCAATAAAGCTCAAAGAGGAAGTGAAGCTCACTGACAACTATATCTGAAAAATTGGAGGTACCAATAAAACCAGGATCCAAACTGCTTAATATGACATCCTAATCTTTTTGGATCACCCCCATACATAGACCAATCCCCCATCGCACGAATCCTTCGTTGACTATTCAGAAAAACACATGGATGGATGGAATCATTTTTTTTTACAGAGAGTCCTTACAATATTTTCTTCCCTACAGTGACATTGTTAAACAACTGTGTTGATATTGTTTGTACTGTGCAACAGCCTCTTTGTATGACCAGCTGAAACTTGTATAAAGCGAAAAAAAAAAAAAGTTCCAACTACCTGCCTATCTTGGTGAGTCAATGGGTTTAGTTGTCTCTTGGTCACTGTCCCAGAGCAAGTGGAGTCAGGTCTTCTCATCTGCTTACCTATTATAAGTCTTTGGAGTCAATTTACTAAAGGCAAGTAGGCTAATCCATACAATTTTATTTTTACTTTTTTGCAAAGTGAATTTTTTACCAGGTTCACTAAGCTAAGAGAAAATTATCGTGCAAAGAGCAAATTCCCCTTCAAAGTGTACAGCCTATTTGCCTTTAGTAAATCAACTCCAGTGACCCAGAAAGTAGAAATGCCATTGCATTGGCTTGATAACCAGACAAATAGCTTTTTTAGAAGGAGAGATCAGCAATGACATCCTTCTCTTTTTTCTCGGTAAAGGGCTCCTAAATTGTTATAATAGCTATGACTCTGCAAAAGTGATGATTCACTGATAAGAATGTTAGCAAGCTAACACTTATGATTTGAATATTACAGATGTCTTTCAGTAAGCTACATAATTGTGATATCTAAAAATGAAACCATTCCCGTGTATCAAGATGCCATTTGCACAGATCAGGACCAAGTAGCGTTATGTCCTGTATGCTTCTTTGTTTGATATTTCCCAAGCTCTAAAGCATTCAGTTTAAGGAATGTAGCTTAGATAACGCTAGCACAGAAAGCTGTGACAGGTGTTATCAGTTGGACGTGCAATGGGATGAGAGCGGGCCCCTTTTCAGGTATAGTATAACTAGGTTTAGAAACACACAAACCTTTGTCAAAAATAGCTGTGAATTATACACAATGGGTAAAATAAATGACATACCTTACTTTTCTTTGAGAATCAGAAATTCACAATTTGTCATAGCAATGGATATGTCTCTGTGGGGTTATGGTAGAAAAAAAGAAAACAGTTGTAAAAAGTTTACATTACATAAAAAAGAAATGCATAAACTCTTGTCAATGGTTACACATAGCTGTAAGAAATGACAAAATCTATCCCAGAAACAAGAGTCAGGAAGAAATTTGAAAAAAAAATATAACTGGCAAGCTAGTAATAAGCGGGTTTTGTTTGCATTTTCTTCCAAATACTTGGAACACCGGAGCTGCTCTGGAAATGCATTTGAACAGACCTGTTTGTTAAAGTGTTAAGTTTAGAGAGATAGAAAATACCCCTTATTAAATTCAGTTATGTATCCATTGAAGTACTTAAATGTATTTTTACATTCATCTCAGTCTGTCTTTGCCACAGCCATTTGCCATTGCCATTGCATATCAGCATTCACACAGGGAAAAGAAATGTCAGAACTGTTAGTTAATTAATTAGGTTTAACTGCATTGCACAGTGCCATGAACCTGATTAGAGATGAGGTTCGGACTCACTGCCACCATGGATTTGAGGCGAACCCTGCGTAATTCACCAGACTGAATTCTTCATCCATAACACACTGCATGACCTTTGAACTAAAGCCAGGTATAAATGCTTCAAATTTCGCCTGGTTCTTAATGAACCGGCCGAGAATCGAATCTTGGGCACCGACACTTTTCCAACTGGCATCCCTCGATCAGCTGCTGGAAAGAGCAGAGTCAGAAAATTCTCTACTGAACAAGCGAGGAGCCAATAAGCTTTCAGCCCTGTTTGGGTAGCTGGCTGTCAGAATACCCAAAGTAATTAGCAGGAGATTCCTTAATCAACACTTGTTAATAGAGTTAACATTCGATATTCATTAATAGAGTAATCTGTTGTATTTCTTCATTCAACCTGCTGGTTGAATGAAGTAAAGAAGAAAATAGAAAAATGTATACACAAATTAAGGCCAGCAAAAGAATAAAAGATGTCTCTGTTAGGGCTCGTGAGAGTGGTTTGGAGCTGTTTGCCATTGGAGTAGGACGTGTTGATATGACCACTCTTCGTCAGATTGCCAGTGAGCCCTTAGATGAACATGTAGACTATGTGGAGAGTTACAAGATAGCTGAGTGGCAAGAGTAACTAGGGTAACTAGGAGCTTAATGAAACAGCCCAAAATTAGAAATAATGAAACAAGAATACAGCTTTCAAGTACTGAGCAGAGAATAGCAAGAATAGTCAAAGAACGTCCATAATTTATCGTACATAATACAGTTCAAGATCAGAGAAACAGCCAACTAGGTCAGGAATGGTATAGATACCTCGTATGAGCACATACAGTATCTGTAATACCTGTACTTTCATTCATCCTGGAAAGCATAACCAGGGCAGTACTTCTGTCACTGCAGCTCTTATACAGAGACAAAATGTGTAGTTTATACTACCCCTTACCCCTTGTCCATTCACAGAACACCTTATATTCTGTGAATGGTTCACAGGATACAATGTGTTCTGTGAATGAACAAGGGGAGAGCAGGAATGTATAAGTGATACAATCACTTCTCTTTATGAGAGCCACAGTTTTCATAGCCACAGCTGGAATAAGGAGCTAGCTGTACTTTCCAGCATAAATGAATGTACAATTTTTATTGTACCCAGCAGCGATCCAGACGTGGGATAAACAGCATTAGAGGTATGTTTTTACCCATATCACAGTACACCAAAGCAATTGTGCCTGTGCCGCTTTAAGTTACCTGTTAGGGTCAGGTTAAGTGTTAAAGACCATCTATGGGCAAAAAAACTAAACTTACACTTGCAGCAAGGCTACCCCCTCACTACAAGGGATAAGTGCTATTTTTGTCTAGGGGATACTAATAAGGCTGCTTTACTTACCTGATTCTCCAAGCTGCTAAACCAGTTTCAGCAGCCTCTTCCCCGCTTTGCTCCAGCAGTCTATGGACCGTTGATGACATCACGTCTTATGCAGGTCCCTTGACCTGCATTAGATGTGAAGACACCCAATGACATTTCAACATCCATAGTGGAGGGGGAGAAGTGAGGGCTGACTGCTGCCGGAGCTAGGACCAAGTAAGGAAAACAGATTTCTTTAAATCTTCTAGAAAAAATAAGCAGTTAACGCTTGCAGTGTGGGAGTAGCCCACTACAAGGGTATGTTTTTTATTTGCCCAGGGGTGGGCTTTAAGTGTTGGAAGAGTAATTTTAGGAGATAGTTAAAGGGTAATTTACAGAGATTGTGTACATACTTTCTTGAAAAAAAAAAATATTGTTTGACCTAATTTTCAATGGGAATTTTAATTATGAAATATTGCTAATAGTGTTTTAAAAACATACACAATTAAAAAAAAAAGTAGACCAACTGACACTAAATTATTATATTTCAACTTTAAGGTTTAAGGGTACAGGAAAAGGCAGTATTAACTAACAGCTATAGGCACCAAAAACCGAAAGCTAACCTGCCAGTTAGACTTTCACTGTCAACTGATTTTGTTTTGCTCTCTGTCTGAGTCTCTCTGGCCTTTTCCAAAAATCCAGGTGGCACATAAGAGGCTAGTTAGGTGCTCTGACATACATACTATGAACGAACAAGCTCATGGCTACCATTAAGCAATACTGCATAACATGATAGTTTTCTAAATAATTGCTCACAGCCAACATTGATTATCCCAAGACTGACAAGTTTCTGAGGTTATAGAATTCAATCCAATAAAAACCACAACAATTCAGAACTAAAAAGTATCTCTGAATGTCGCACAGGTTACAAGATGTATGCTGTTGGTGTGGGCAATGCTGTGGAGGATGAGTTGAGAATGATTGCCTCAGAACCTGTAGCAGAACACTACTTCTACACTGCTGATTTCAAGGCCATGAAAGAAATTGGCAAGAAACTTCAGGTGAAAATTTGTGTGGGTAAGTATCTATATAGTAGGAAAAAATGCTGGTTGGCAACAGCACTGTAAAATTCATTTGGATTCAGATAATATGAGTAGCATTGATGTTAACACACACTTTCCCTTCTGAGCAGAAGAGAACCCCTGTGAATGTGAGGCAATTGTGAAGTTCCAGACCAAGGTGGAAGAGCTCATCCAGTCATTAACAAGGAAAAATATCCTTTTTCTCCTGTTACAGGAAGAGATTATTTTCTATGGTTTTCAAAATAAATTAATATAAAAGTACCTTTATTATAAAATGACATTTGGTAAATAAACAGTATAGATCTGCTCTGTTATGTCATGCATCTCTTACATCAGTGTGATGGGCCCTTCAACTGCAATATAGCATTGTCTTTGGAGTTCCACTAGTACCACACATTCATGCTGCTGATGTAGTTTATTTGTTATTAAAGTGACACTAAACTCAGAAGTTAAACCTTGGTACTAATATCAAAAAGTATGAAAATAGTGTTTTTTTAAATTACTATAACTGACTGCCCACTGCCAGTGTGAAAAGAAGAGATCACTACATAATTTCCCTCAGCCCAGCACCTGGCAGCAGGGCAGTTAGAAGACCACAACAGAATATTACTTTTTTTTTTTTTAAAGATAGCTTTAGTGGTTTTAACCCCCACCTTTTTTAAATATGATACGAATCTCAGTATGACTACCTATGCTACATGATGCTGTAATCGTTTACTTGCTTGAGGTAGGCTCGATCTGCAATAGTAGATGTGACCAACATTAAAGATATTAAGGCGTAAATAATCCAAGTAATGTATATATATGCGTAATGCATTATATGCGTATACATTACTTGGATTATTTACGCCTTAATATCTTTAATGTTGGTCACATCTACTATTGCAGATCGAGCCTACCTCAAGCAAGTAAACGATTACAGCATCATGTAGCATAGGTAGTCATACTGAGATTCGTATCATATTTAAAAAAGGTGGGGGTTAAAACCACTAAAGCTATCTTTAAAAAAAAAAAAAGTAATATTCTGTTGTGGTCTTCTAACTGCCCTGCTGCCAGGTGCTGGGCTGAGGGAAATTATGTAGTGATCTCTTCTTTTCACACTGGCAGTGGGCAGTCAGTTATAGTAATTTAAAAAAACACTATTTTCATACTTTTTGATATTAGTACCAAGGTTTAACTTCTGAGTTTAGTGTCACTTTAATAACAAATAAACTACATCAGCAGCATGAATGTGTGGTACTAGTGGAACTCCAAAGACAATGCTATATTGCAGTTGAAGGGCCCATCACACTGATGTAAGAGATGCATGACATAACAGAGCAGATCTATACTGTTTATTTACCAAATGTCATTTTATAATAAAGGTACCCTCAAAAACATCAATATTTCTTAACACGTCACCCTTTTGTTGACAACAGGAACCAGTTTGCTCAGATTACAACCAAAAGGGTCTTCTGAGTAGATGGGCTGGCAGTAAGGGTTTAGTTAATCACACCACAAAAAAGATAGGAGTGATTCACTTCACCAGGTTGATACCCATTGTCGGGTATGCAGTGTAGACTAATTAGTGGGTTATTTACATTCCTTGCTAGCTCAAGCCCATCTTTAGATATGCCTTTTTAGTTTTGGATAATGTGGAGACAGGAGGGAATTTCTGTTCCATTAATTGCTGTCTGTGCTTTATGTATATTAGATCATCCTTAAGTTCCTGGAATTGTTGCATTGAATCAGATATGTGAAGTAGTAAAGGGTTAGAACCTTTGTTATTGGGTAGTTTCCCCATCACCTCATGCCCCTTGTCACACCCTGACAAAGTTTAAAAATAGATGAAGTTAGAATGTGGGCGTTTTGTGTCAGGAAGCCAATCAGCAATGATATCACAGAGGTGGGAGAATCCCAGTTCATAATCTCATGTGTTCTCTACCAGGAAATAAAAGCAGGATCACTATTAGGTTAGCAAAATCATCATCGTAATTGCAGGAAATCGTTTCCTTAAACAGTGCCCTTTATCTCTCTTTTCAGTGGAACAGGTACTACATAACATTATATCATTAGATGTTCTTCATAATGTTTTATTTTGTACCATACAGTTTTTTCTTTAACTCCTACCTCACTTGAAGCTGTATCCAAGAGGCTTACCGCTCTGGAGAACAAAATCACTGTGTGAAGAATTCATGCTTCTTCCTTTAATATCCAGGATCCATCCCATGGCTCCTAAATCTATAGCCTGAAGCCAAACATCAACCCCTACATCAAGCCTGCATAAAAAGTGTCTAAATTCCTGAACTGTCACATGGATGAAACATTGCAGGTTATCAGTGAGAGGCTATTACCATCTCCATTGCCAAAATGATGTCTCTAATGAAAGGGGCAAACATGATCCTGTGAAATATGTAGTATGCAAAGTATGCAGAAACCATATCTGCATGGAACTGTAAAAAAAGGATAGACACACATGTATATATACTTCTATATATATAGTTTATATGACAAAGATGGGCAATCACATTTGAAGCAAAGAGCTCTGAGTGGGTATTTGTTTGAATAATGTAATAAATCAGAAGAGAGCAGCCCAATACAAATGTTCTAGTGCAATATAAATTATATGTGGGCATCCTTAGATTTTTAAGGAACTGTCCAAAAGGTAAGCCTAAAACATTAACCATTCCAAACTACAGCAACATTGCACCATACATTTTATTGTTTTGTTGTTTTCTTCTGTGTTCCACA